AAATGAAAAATCTATATGATTTGACTCAAAGCTATGCATGCATAAGTGAGGCCAATCAGAACTCGTCGATAATCATTATGAAGTGAATAAGGTTTAAAACAATATGTGAGTTTTGAAAAGTGATCCACAAAGGGTCATGCATTAAATTTTAAAAAATTGATTAAGGCTTGGTTTGGGACGGCTTTTTTATTGCTTTCTAAAACGGAGTTTTAGTACAAATTTTTTTATTTCTGTACTAAAACTCCGTTTTAAAAAGCGTCAAAAAAGCCGTCCCAAACGAAGCCTAAATTTAAATCATATGTTCATTTTATCTTATTTAAGAAAATTTTAACTTTATAAAGATTTAACATCCTAAGAGCACAATGCAAAGACTCTATCTAAGCCACCCAAAGCAAAATAAATAAATAAAAAGGAAAAAACATGCAATTTTAATGCGTAATCATAGTAAAGACACCAATCATTATATAATAAATAATAATTAATGGTCATGAATGCAGCTGTGTTCTATAATACACCGCAAAAAAATTTAAAAAAAAGGTAGCTGAGTTTTACCATATATACAACTGAGCCTAAATCTTTACATCATTAAATAGTGTGTGTCTTGATTGTTATTCATATATTTGGCATTCTACTTTCTGAAATATCCACATACCTGCAAGGCTTTTCTAACGAAAACTATATTTAAAAAATAAAAAATACATGAATCTCCTACAAAAAAATATGTTAGCATAATTATAATAAAAATCACATACATCAAACATACATAACTTAGTCCTTAGGTCCACATTCCCAAGGGCTTAAAATTCCTTGTTGTACTTGTTAACAAACATATTTATAATAATTATTTATGTATTTTTTATTGCCCTTTGGGAATGTGACTACGTGCATAAAATATTTGTATAAAAACTTAATTACTTAAGGGCAAGTACCCACTCATCAATCCAAAAAATAGAAAAAAACAAGCAACAAAAAATTAAAACAAGTCATAATTAAATAACCACCACATCATCACATATGCAAAATATAAAAGAAAAAAAAATGTTATCACAGCTACTTCCTATGTTGGGATGCTAATGAAAAATGTTCTATCCATCGCCTAAGTCCATGCAAAAAAATATTGTACCTAACTACCTCAAATTAGATGAGATATTCACATTACAAGATCATGCTCTTATTGTTTAATTTATTAGCCATTAGATTTCTCTTTAAGTACTTAAGCATTTATGATGAATTAATTAACACTTAATTTTAAGATTATAATAATTATTATTAAATTATGGAGAGCCTTTCAGCCTTGAATGATTAAATATTTAAAATATATGCATTTTAAATATTAAATCCCTATAGGACATACCAAAGTCACACTCTCTCTTTCACATACTTAGATGATTTGTTAATACAACTAATTTTAACATATGTTAGGTTGGTGCATTGGTTTGGTTTGATTGAGGGTGTTTTTTTCCTAAAGAGCACCAATGTGTGTTTGCTTACTTTTATGTCAAATATGAATGTCATATTTACTTTTCTATTAGTACACCAAAAAGCGGAGTGAATGAATTCAAGACCGTGCAATTTATTTTCATTAACTTTTCTATATATATGAATGCTCACACAACGTCGTCATATCTGCATTTTATTTTTCTGCTCTTTATTTTCCTACTAAGTATAATGTTCTTAGGTGATGATGTGCAAAAAATATATATTTAAATTTTATAGATTTTAGTGTATATTTATATTGAGTTGTACAACATTATGAGTTGTAAAAGATTCAAATGTAATTGCTTATGTACATACAAGCGGGGCTCCAAAAGATAATATCCTCTCACAAAGGATGCTCTCTTTTGGAATTCCATAGAAGCTATGGAGCTCGAAGGCCATAAATAGATTCATTTACTTTTCTGTATATATGTAAGCATGTTGTATGCATTCGATTTGATTCCTAGGATAAAGCTTACTAAATCTTGTATTCATACGGTGACTGTTGTGATTAGGATTGTTAGTTGAAAGGTCAAATTAGGCAAGTGGTAAGTTCAGATTGTATACACCTCTCTTAGTGCATATCCTTGCTTAATTCAAATTTAAGTTTCAAATCAATTCCAGAATTTATAATCTAAAGTCTGTGCATCGAAATATAAGTAGCCCGATTATCTTTTTAAGGGATTTACATACATACAACTTTATTTCATGCTATTTACACATCTAATAACTAAAATTTTATTAAAATATGCATACCACTCATAGAACAAATATGGATGCATAAAATAAAATATTATAATTTATAGGGTGGTATGGATGGTAATATTAAAATATAAGAGTGATATATTTGATATTAAAATTTTATATGAGTGATATGAACGTAATATTAAAATTTTAGGTGTTAGATATAAAAATAATATGAAATAAAGTGGTAGATATGTAAATCACCCTTATTTTTTAAAATTTGTAAATTTTAAAATCATTTTGTCTTCACTGTAATTGAGAGTTTCTCTTTGGAGATGTAATTAACTATAAATGCTTTCTCTTATAGGAACTTTAGATCCCATAATAAAATAAGCCGTATATTAGTTTCTTTATAAAGTGGGGGAAAAATGTGTGAATGCACACTAACTTTATATATATTCTAAATTTAATTTCATAATCAAAAGATAGATGGATATTTTATTTGCTTTTACGGCGAATTAAATATCCTTTATATTTGATTATGGAAATAAGTTTATAACATATTATTCTAATTGGAATGATAAGAGAGTATGCTTTTCTTTCTTTTGGGATGGATTATATATTCTATATGCTGCATCTGATTAGAAAAATAAATTATAGTTTATATCTTTTAAATCGATAGCAAAATATTAGTTTATCTTTATGAGTGGTATAATGTTAAGCTATGCAAATCTAATTCGAAAAAACTAGTAAATATATTTAAAGCAAATAAGTGGATGCCACATCCAAAACATTTATAAAAAATTTATCCACAATCCTATGTTTAGATACAAAAGATTTTCATTTCAATCTGCATATTTGTTTTATCATTCCTTCGTCGAGGCAATTAATCACACCAAGTTTGAACTTCAACTATGAACATTGCATGAACTAAATTAAGATTGGGAGTGATTGAAAACAACACTAAAGTATTTCATGAACTAGAGTCTACATAAGGCAAAAATATATATTTTTTAACATCATAAGACCAAAACTAAGAATTAACCAATCAAAGAAATGATTTCATACATAACATGATTCATTATACAAACAACAACAAAGTATATGAGTTTAAATGAAGAAAATATCACCCATAACAACTTTTACAATCAAATACAAACAATAGATGATTCCTAGATCAATCTCCCTTATGCATGATCATTCTCCACACCTAATTCTCACTTTCTTACTATTTTGTACATAAAATAGATGGTCAAACCCATAATTTAAAAAAAAAAAAGAGAATATATAGACTTAATGCAAATAGTCCCAGGCACCACGACGCTTAACAAATGAACTAGCACATCAGTGCTCGATGCTGGGCTCCACCACGACATTGGAATGAATAGACATGACATTTCAATAGTGAATCGCTCTAACTTGTTCGTTGTGGTGTTGTAGGCGATTTCATGCCGCTAAGGTGTTGCAATGTTGAATATAATTGGCCGCTGCGGCGCTCCATCTAATTGAGTCAGGGCGCTCTAGATGATGGCGTCGGGGGTGCTCCAAATGATGGTGTCAGGGCGTTAATTAATATGCAAAATTACGAAAGTTAGAGTGCAATGGTGCTCCAGAGTGGTGCTGGAGGCAAATTCTTTTTTTTTCCAGAGTGGCGCTGGAGTGTTGGAGGCAAATTTTTTTTTTTCTTGCAATCTCCTTTACAACATCAACTAAAACAAATATTTTTACAATAATTTATAAGCAAAACATTACCATACTTTTCACTTAACAAAAATAAAACAAATGTGGTGTAAAGCCCAAAATAGCGGCAGTCAACAATGATCCATAAGGATTGCGGTAGAGTTGGCTCTAGCTGATGGCACCAGTAGGCGAGTGATAGAGTCAGGCAGGGGTGGAGCCATTATTTTTTATTAGTGGGGGCACAAATTAATAATTTTCAAATTATTCTAAATATGTATTTAAATTTTCAATAAGTAAAATTGTTAGAAAAAAATTATACACTGATATTTTCTAAAAGAAATTAATCTACTCCCCAAAGTTCATTTTCTATATTTTCTTTTTGCTAATTTTAAACACATTTTCATATTCAAATAAATTTTAAAAATTATATTATATCATAAAAATTAAAACTTTAAATTTACAAAATGGTTGGATCTAACACATGATTCTTTATAATATTCATGAAGGAGAATGCTCGTTTGATTGTTATTGTAGCAACTGATATAATATAATATAGAACAATTATACTTTTAAATGAAAAATAACTTACTTGAGTGGGCTTTGAGATCCTCTTCTCAACAATATGTATAATTATAATTTATTAAATTCTCTTCTCTAGCCTTCATGTCAATTTAAAAAAATAATATAAAATGTAACTAGAATCAATTCAATAATATTTTTCATTTTTATGAGATTTTTAAATGCTTTTATTATATATTGTAAAGTAAAAAAAATCTAATAATATTGTACACATTCATAGCAAATAAACAAATAACTATAAATTTCTTTTTCAGAAAAAAAGTGATAGAAAGAGAGACTCACAAGTAACAAATCCTTAGAGAGAGAGCCATGTGAATACTAAGAATTAATCTCAACTACGAGTACAGGTGGCTCCCAATTTTTCCCAGAAAAAAGTGCAGATGACTTTCCAGCTATGGCTGTTTATATTGGGTGGCAGGGGGCAACATGATTGGAAATAATTTACACTATATTGATCTTACTTCAAATCTAAAGTTAATATTCTCAAACTTATTACATTAAATTATTTTGTATCCATTTTACTTTTAACCACCCCTAATCCCTATGTACTTATTTCTTTTGTTTTTTAAAAATTGGATTAGATAATTTGTCACCTCCAGAGTCCTTCAACCCCACCGCCGGCTGATCAGTCTCACTGCCTCGACCTCGTCTGATTCGAGGCGGCCACATGCCACATTCCAGTTCTCCTTCCGCCATCAATTAGATGACCTCTCCATTACCCCTCCGGTAGCACGACCGCGACAATCATCACCGGCAACCCCCATGGCCCAGGGCCAGGGTACCATCAGCGCGACGGAACACTTCTGGTTTCTCCTAGATAAAGGTGATCGCAAGTTTTCTCGTATCCGCGAACTTCCAAACTTCGGCCGCGCTAGGTAATGATTGAATCGTTTAAATAAAATTAGAACGAAACCCTAGAAATTCTCACCGTTTTGGTGCGGAGCCACTCAGGAACGATGCGGACTTCCAGAAGGCTTTTAAGATCTATACGCAGCTTTGGAAGCTGCAGCAGGAGAACCGGCAGAAGCTGGTGGAGGCCGGTTTGAAGCGGTGGGAGATTGGTGAGATCGCCTCGCGGATCGCGCAGCTGTACTACTTTCAGTACCAGAGAACCAGCGACAGCGGGAACCTACTCGAGGCCTACGTATTCTATGAAGCAATCCTCACGCGAGAGTACTTCCGGGACTCGGCCGCAGCATCGGGCGGTTCGGCGCCGGATCCTGCACTGGCTAATAAGCAGCTTCGTTTTTTCGCTCGGTTCCTGATCGTGTGCCTCGTTCTCGGCCGCCGTGACATGGTTTCGATACTCGCAAACCATCTCAGGACGCTTGTAGATGAGTCCAGGAGGAGCTTTCAGGTCTGTCTTTCTTCTATCACGCGTACTCGGCATCTTTTTGTCACCAATCATCTCCTTAATTCGATTCGTACGGGAGAAATTGCTTGGAAGTTGATGGATTTGGGATTTCAAAACACGTTCTTAATGCTCTTTATTATTATTTCTTGTGAGTTCGTGAAATCAGTAAGTGGTGTGGAACATCTTAGTTAAAGCATTCCATATGAATATTAAATCTAGTTTGTTACATGTTTTTTCTAGAAAGTTTTAGGAATCTCTTTTGATATATTATATATAGAAGGTTGTAGAAATGTTAGGGATGATGACTATTAATCTCTTTTGAAGCTTTAAGGTTGCGTTTGTTCCCTTGATTGGGTATTCATTCTAGCAGATCCAATTATTCTGCTGACCCACTATATCAGTTGGTATCAGAGCCTGAAGCTTGTGAAGAATGACAAATTGCCAAAGAAGATGGGTTGTCGGCGATAATAGAAGCCGAAGAAAATAGGCAGTCGACGAAGATCAACGCTAAATATGACTAGTGGTTGACAATGATTGACGTCGAAGAAAATGGGCGGTCGATGACTATCCTCGGCTCCAACTTCCATTCCAATGGTGAGATCCATTGCCCGACCACCGACCCTCTTCCATTGCTTCACATGATTGCAAACAGATCCACAATCAACTCGCTGTCATCCACAACTACCCTCTGCTCTAACTTCCACTCCGATGGTGTGATCCCCTATCGGACCAACGACTCGCGACCATGCCCACACTTTGCATTCAATTTGCTCTCCCGGAGAATTCTGAGAAAGACGAAGACAGAACGAGCGAGCAGTCGCCTAATGCGAACTAAAACAAATTATAAGATAATAAAACTATAAGTCAACCCGCTGCCCACTCGCTAGTTGCTACAGTTGCCCTAAACATAACAATGCCGGTCATTATAGGTCAAACTCGGGGTTTCAGGTTGATTCGGACCATACCCGAAAGTTGAAACGGGTCGAATATCAGGACCTGAACCCGACCCATTTTTCAAACGTGTTGACCCTAACCTGAAAATTTTGGGTCGTGTTTATGTCGTGTTCTGGGACACGCCCTTAATGATGGTGAAATAGATTGAGATATTATTAGTAGAATTCAAGTTGGATCGTTGAAGTGGAAGAATGCATCGGGCCTGTTGTGTGATAGGAAAATCCTCTCAAATTGAAGGGAATATTCTATAAGATGGCGGTGACACTTGCAATGCTTTATGTTGCAGAATGTTGGCCATTAAAAGAGAAGCATAATATTAAGTTAAGTTTTGCAGAGATGAGGATGCTCAGGTGGATGAGTGACTTTACTCTTAGAGATATGATATAAAATGAGCATTTACGTGAAAAGATTGGAGTAGCTCCAGTAAAAGATAATATTAGAGAGAGTCGACTTAGATGGTTTGGTCACATAAAATGGAGGCCTTTTGATGACCCGCCGATTAGGAGAGTAGATGTATTAGATTTGGCTTATTTTAAGAAAGATATAGATCGACCTAAAAAGAATTGTTTAGTAAATATTAGAAATAACATTTCTTTATTAGATTTAAATGAGAATTTGATCCTTAACATGACACAATAGAGAAAAAGTATTCATGTAGCCAACCCCATGTAGTGGGATAAGGCTTGATGTTGTTGATGTTAAAATCACATAACACAAATAAAAACTAGCATCAACTTCATAAATCACAATAAATATAATTTTTTTGGGCTAGGATGAAAGCTTTTGTATAACAAAACAAATAATAATAATAATAATAATAATAATAATAATAATAATAATAATAATAATAATAATAAATCAAACCTTAGCTATGCGGTGAGTGTTGTGCTTGGAAGCGTAAGGGTTGGTGGTATGGGGTTGATGGATTTAGCTTGGGCACCGCCAGCGAATCAAGAGACATAGAATATCTGGGCCAGAAGGATGCGTGCGCCATATATTGATTTTGCTCAAGTTTTAGATAAATTTGGAATATAAATGAAATGTGTCTTTTAAGAGGTGATACTTTCAAAATGTTGTTTTGTATTGTTTTGGTTCAAAGAAAATACTAAAAAAAAGTAAAGATTCAGGAAATGGATTACAATATTTTATTAATGAGGCCCACTAATCAACATCTAATAGAATAAAGGGTAGTGACTCGATTGATTTGCAAGTAGCAATTAATTAAGGCTATACGAGAGTTGTTAAAATTTAATTAGACTAAGTTGACTCTAATTATATTCATTAAAACTCTAATTTATTCATTAGATAATACGTAGTTGAATTAAATAGGAATTAACATGTGATTAATGATCTCAAGTGATTATTACCCAATCAATGAGCTGATGTTAATTTAAGTTAACTATGTTTTAATTACGTTATTTGTCATTGATTTAAACTTATTAGGGCTTAATTGGTCGTAATTAAATATTGCTTAGCAAAATAATATTTACATTCCACAAGTAATTAGTAATTATTTTATAGCCAGCTTGATTAGTTAGGCTAAGTATGATTTTAACATTGATTAAATAGTTTTAATAAGACTAATTAGGGAATCATTAACTTCGACTAGACATAGGTTAATTAGTTTGGTTTGATTTTCTTAGGTAATTTGTAATTAATTAATGAATAGGGAGATTAGTTGATTAAATACTAATTGGGATTGAATGTTGATTAATTAGTGTTTAATTGGTCCTATTAGGGTTAAATTTTCTTTATCTTATGTTTAATCAATTAATTAGTTAATTGCTTCTACTTGGACATTTGGCTTTTGCTCCACCACGTTCTCTCTACACCCATCTCTTTAATCCTTAATACCTTAATCCTAGAAATGGTTGGATTAAGGGAATAGAGGGATTTAAATTTCTTAGTCCTTTAATCTGAAAATTGCAGGGTTTATAGAATCTAAACTGTTTTTATAACCTGTTTGGTCTGATTGAAGAATTAAAGGGACTTTAATATCATATTTTTTTAATTCTGCTTACTTCTTGATGGCTTGGGATTGGTTGTTATTTGTAACTCACAAATTTCTCGGACTCTTCAGCTGGTATGTAGTCTTTGGATTGGATTAGTTATCTTCTTATCTACTTCAACATCCAATATGGTTGGTTTAGAAGAATCATATGTTCTTCTTTGCTGGTTAATATGCACCTCTAAATATTAAGATGTAGTTGACTTTATGAAACATTACTTCATGTGATCTTTAGTATTTAATTAATCGTCTACTGATGCTTTGTGAGCACTAATTTTTTTGATAGAACAATCTTTTCCTTTCTTTACATGAGAAAGAAAGTTCTATTTTGGATCATTTGAAGTACTTTTTTTATTGTTGGTGTCACATCTTAAAGGTTGCCTGGTTGTTATCGGTAATGCTGAACTTGTATTTCAGGAAATAGAGTACAAAGAATGGAAGCATGTGGTTCAGGAAATTATCCGATTTTTGAAACTTGATACATCTTTTATGAATATGAGGCCATTAAGATATAGCTTTGTCTATGACACGCATCCAGATTCTCTTCCTGTTGCTGCTTCTTACAACTCTAGGAAAGGTTTAGTTCTACGTGATGCAATATTGAGCAGCTATTGTCACAATGAGGTTAGCAACGTATATTCCATTTTTTTAGTTTATTACTTTATTTGATAGTCTATATGATCTTATGCATTTTGATTTCAGCCGCTGATTTTAATTGTTTATGCGCGTCATTGTCCTTTATGTCTAGGTTAAGTTTGCAGAGCTTACTCTAGACACATTTAGAATGCTTCAGTGTTTGGAGTGGGAACCATGTGGCTCGTTCTCCCTAAACATTGCTACTGATAGCAATTACAATGGAATGGGACCTAATCGTGTGAATCTACTGCAAGACATCAGAGATTCTGCCCTACCCCCCAACCCACATAAAGTAATTTTGTATCGTCCGACTATTACATATTTTCTTGTGGTGAGTTCGTGTTAAGCTCATTATTTACTTGCATTTAATTACTACGTTATTTTTTCCCCCAGTGATACTTCATTGATAAAAGTATTATCTTCAACTTAGCATTTCTTCTCAAAAAGCATGTTGATATCCTCTTTTTGTTTGTACTATATATCAAAGATCGATACTCTGATACTAACTTAATATTTTACAAACCTCTCAATGCTATCGTGTAACCCACAATGAGAGGCTAAAATGGTTAGAAAATATTATAGGAATGCAATTAAGGAGATATTGAGCTATTTGATATCTCTTAATTTTTTTTTTGTTTATATTCTAACTTGAGACAAAAAATACATTTGGTTTCTCATACATTTTTTTCCAAAAAAAAAAAAAAGAAAAGAAACCTATTTCCTCCGTTGACGAATGGTTGAAGCACACATCCAACACCTCCTAAAACGCCCACTACTGACCCTTACCCTTCCCTAGCTTCTTGCTGTTGAGCCTATGTTTTTTAGCAGCCATTTGGTGACGTCACCCTTTCCCTCTTCCATCAAGCCCATTAGATGGTCTCGAGTAAGGGTATAAACGAGTTGAGTCGAGTCGAGTTTAGGCCCTTATCGAGCTCGAACTCGAGCTCGACAGTCGAGCTCGTGTCACTGTTAACGAGCTCGAGCCGGCTCGCCAACAATGAGAGGGAATTTTTAAATTTAGGCGGGATTTTTAAAAAAAAATTAAAATTAGGCGGGATTTTTAAACCTTAAGCAGGATTTTTGAAACTTAAACAAAAATTTTTAAAAAATATGAAATATTTCACTTTTAAATAAAATTTAGGTGATTATTATTATTATTTTTTAATATTTAAATTTAATAAATAAAATTGTCACGACCCGTCCCGGATGCTCGATCTAACGAGGCGGGTACGAAAGGTCGGACGATAGTACATTTCCAAAAGTATAAGATAACTAGTCATCAAAACTTTTACAAAAACTGAAGAGCCACTAAACACAAAAAAATCTATTTTACCTGTTGTCATTTGCACCTCGCCTTCTGTAAACATGTTCTTCTCTTTCAGCCATTACTTCTCTTAGGAATAACCTGAAACATTTAAACTTGTGGTTTGAGTTTACTAAGTAAACTCAGTGAGAATTATATAAATTTATCTTTATAAAAAAATGGATTAATATATGTTCTTTCTTTTCTTAATCTTTTTCTTTTATTTCATTAACTTATACTTCTTTGGATATTTTCATTTATACTATTTCGAAACAATGTTATCTTAAATTTTTCATTTACATTTCCTTTTCCCATTCGATTTACGCAGGAGCACCGTCTTAAAGTACCCAAAGGTACAACCTTTTCCAATTGATTTCCTTTTCCCCTTTTCCATAGAAATTTCCTTTTCGATAAGCTCGGCTCGCGAGCCCATAAACGAGTCGAGCTCGAGCCGGCTCGGCTCACTTACACCCCTATTCTCGAGCTTGAAGCCCTGACCAACCTGTAGGGTGGAAAATGCAAGGAAAAGGCCAATGTCTGTGCAGACGCTAGGCGGATGCTTTGTGGGATAAGGAGGGTCGGTTTTTGCAACCTTCAGGTGTGGATATGGTGAGGAAAACCGTTCCTTCAAGCATTATGACAAATAGTTTGGGGTGAGACGCTATTAGTCGGGGAGCTTCCCGCCATCACCAACTGTGGGTGAGTCATGTGAGACATCAGACTCTGTGGGTAGGATGAGAAAAATTATTATGAAAAAACTTAAAACATCTATAACTTATTTTGAGTATTTTTTAAACAACTTAAAAAATTTAAAAACACTTGTCAAACAATTATCAATCATGCTGCTCATTTAGTCAAAAGCAATTATGGTGCCTAAAAACTCCATATGGAAGCATCATTCAGAAAGTATTGGTTTTTTTTTTATATCGTAAAAAAATATTTTTTGGCTTTTTGGAATGCTGGTTTAAATTAATATTTTCTAACTATGATATGATACACAGCTCTTGAGTTGCATTGCAATCCATTTCTCCGCTTTTATCATGATTTTATATTGAAGTATTGAACTATAAATATGATTCTTTTCTTGTCTTATAATATACATACTATTTTTTGGACATAGTTTTCTTGACATTGCTCATGTCGAAGAGCACATTACGAGGCAATTTTTTGAGCTTAACAAACTTTATTATAATGGCATGTTTATTATTCAGTAATAGCTCGGTTGCCTTTCAGTTTTCATTATTGATATTTTTTTTTTCTGGAGTATATTTTATTTTCTTTATTTTCTTAGTAAACAAGTTGAATGATGATAAATGTTTGCAATTTTTTTCATATGATAAATTCTCTTTGTTTAAAAATGATGCCCTGTTTGGCTTTTGGAAAAATAAAAACATTCAAAAGTTTCTCTGAAGTCTGAAATGATATGCTAGGTGAAATAATATCCAAGTTTTGTATTATATGTTGTGAAGCTATTTTATAGTCAATGCAGGATTCTCATCAGTGACTAAGATTAAATAAAGAAATCATGAGCATGTCATAGATGATGACAATGTTTAATTTAAGTAGAAATAGCATGGCATCTTCTATTAACTTATGTTACAACATCAGCGCACAAGATAACAAGATTGTGGGCTTTGAAAAGTTTCTTTACAACCTCTCTGATGAGGACATCAGCAGAAGATTTTAGCGCGTTTATTAGAGGAAGCATCGGAGATCGATGGTCACGATCAGGAGCCTTTTTTTATGCGTTTTATATATTGTTTATTTTATATTTCGTTTTTTTCTATTTTACCCCTATGGGTAGTTAGCTTGATGTTATAGCCCTGAGGACAGTTTAGTCCTTTTCTTTTGTCATGTTGAGGCCTATATATAAGGGCCCCCTCTATTGTATTTGGATGATGATTTGAATAAAAATTTCAGCTTTTGTCTTCTTCTTTGGTGTGAGCACTTGAGAGAAGAGAGAGAGTCCCGTGGCGTGGGTGAAAGCAATACCCGCCAGCCTTGGAGGAGTCCGGGCTTGCGGTTTGTACCTGTTCTTATTTCCCTTCCCCTTCCCCACCCTCCCATAACCGCTGGTTCCCTCCCCATCTTCTTCCCAAACCGCCGGTTTCATCACCCCTCCACCCAAACCCGCCGGCCCCTTCCAACACCCCTTGCCCAGGGTTCCCTAGTTCCCACCGTCACCTCCACCTCTCCACCTTCTTTTCCTAAACTGCCGGCAAGCCCAACCCCACCCCCCTTCCTAGCCGCCGGCCTACCTAGGGCTAAGTTGGATTTCAATTCAATTTACCTCCTAAATACTTTCCTAAATCATCCCAATATGGATTTGGAAAGTTTCGAATTTGAATTCAAATTAATTTGAATTTCAAATCATTTCCTTATCAATAAATCTAATTTAGGAAACTTCCCCAATGTAACTGATCACCAATTAAAGCCCGGGACCACATACATTGAATGTGGACATATTTTCTCCCTCCTCCTTTGGCCGGCCCCCCTCCCCTTTCCTTTTTCCTCTCCCCAATTAATTTCCCATCCCACCAATTAAGCCCCTTAATCCCTCTTAACCTGCCGACCTCTCTCCATAAGTTCCTCTAATTAATTCTCCATTAAGGTATTATGGAATTTCAATTTTTCCCTCCCTCGCCATTAACAAAATTATGAAATCAACTTTAGATTTTAATTTCTTTCTCCTCCATATCTCTTTCTCTCCTTGCTCCATCAAACCCCCAAGGAAGGATGCACCACCAATTGACCTATTCTTCCCATGCATGGCCGAACCATATCTCGACTATGGATTCTTGATTTGATTATCAAGGTCGAATAGATGTGCTACAATCACCATTGTTCAACATTAATCGGGAGGTCGACAACACCGTAGTGGAGTACGTTGACAGGATCTTATTCTCCTTGACCAATGCCATCAACGACTTCTAACATCCAATCCAGTGGCAACTTCAACATCATCTACCCACTCAAAAAAAAAAAAAAAATCATCCACCCACTCCTTCAACTCCGACTATCTTCTCCTTGGACGGTATCGTAAGCCCCTCTCTTTCTTTTGGTGACATCGTCAAGAGTGCTAAATTTATTCTTCTGTTAAGCCATAAAGAGATTGAGTGAGGGAAACTCAAGGTGAATGTTTTAAATATTAATCCATGGATTCTTATTACGGCATAACCAGTTTTACTGTACTTTTTTGATATTATTTTAATTTTTTTGTTCTCCTAGCTTGTAATCGAATGTCACATCAAACTTCAAATGAAAAATTTTAAAGTTATTCTTGTGATACATTAACCTTAAAGTGGCAAGCTTTATAATATTTTATCAATTCCTTGCAATTCTTGTTTGTATCTCATCACTCTTTGCATGGGAGAGTTTGAAGGATGTTTCTGTGTCAAATTTTAAGAAGTTTTGTTAGATTAAATATATGACACTATCCAGAAATTTTACCCTCATTTTGCGAGGACTTCAATGATATGGTTTTGAGCTTCCTATATGCGTTAGCTCTAATGATTAATTTCCCCCTATGTTGCACCGATACACCTATTTATGAAGGCGTGCTGTATTCGATACACCGATACACGGATACGCCTCCAATACTCTACCGATACGTGTCAGATACGCCAAAGCCGTATGAAATTAAAATACTATTTAATTTCAAAAGGACACACGTATCCGATACGTGTGTCTGTTGAAAAACAAAAAGAAATCCATAAAAAAAGACGTGTCGTATTTACTTCCGCGGTTGCGAGCAAGATTCTCTCATTTCCGAGATTGATTTGAGTCTCTTGATGATATGAAAATATTAAAAATTATTAATCTTTCACTTGATGAGCCTGAATTAGAAGCTATGATATTTATTGAAGATGATATAGAAGTTTAAAGACAAACCAATGAAGAAGATAATTATATCATTCCTTCTATTGAATAGTTGAAACTTCATGTGCTAGATAATTTATGTTTATGCTGTTGTTGTTGTACTAGACATTTAATGCTTACTTTTATTTTGATATTATAAGCTACAAGGC